GTGCAAAATCCACGTTTCTCCGCTAAAATGAGAAATCCGTGTTCTTCCTCGGGTAAAGGGGGAAATCCTCTTTTTTTCCATGGGAAATGAAAAACCCAGATCCCTGGAGATCAGGATGGTTTAGCGGTATAAGTATTGGTGATTGATCTAACAAGACTTCTATAGAACCAGGAAACCCCTTAAACCCCCTTATTTTAAATCTTGACCAACTTGACTGTGACATTTACCTTTGCAAATGAAGTGAGTTCCTTGCAAGTTACAGTAAGCAGATATTTTGGATGCAGTCTTAAAACCCATTATAACTGTTGTTTCAGGCATTACACTGCATGGCACTTACCAAAGCAAGTATTCTTCTAATTAAAATTCTTTCAGCTTTGGTACAGTATGCTGTACATTGGCTGTCTGTCTAGAAACTGCCCTCTGACCTCAGAGGAAGGCTGTATGATTCCTGTATGTACGTATGTATTTAATGAACTACTGGGATCTTCTCGTACTAATCTGCAAAAATGACAGTTATCCTAAACTCAGCAATTTCACCTGAATTATCAACAGAGATTTTCATAGCAGAATGCTATAAACTGTTCCATTTCCACAGCAACATTGCATTATAAAATATATTGTGGAACATTTTTGGATACTGTATTATAAACAGTTAAACTACATTTATTTAAAAAATGGGCAAAGTATAATGTATCATGCAGTAAACTAGATGTTTTTAAAATTGGTTGTTTTCACAGTTGTTTCCTATAATTTCCCATGAGTGGCCAAGTCTTTAGTGCACATTAGCAAGATTTTATTCTCCTACTGTTAACCTCAAACAGCAAGATGAGTACTAGCAATATAGCTTGGCATTAGCATCATCACGTAATTGTTAAAAAGGAAAGAAATGAAAGAGACAGAGGATATATGAGAGAAATTGGGAAAGAAAGAAGTTATGTAGAGGGAACAAAGTGTGTTTATTAGAAGACTATTGAATAGCAAGAGGAAAAGGAGGCATGGTAAAAATGTCAAAATTATAAATTTTTTTCCTTTATTAGATTTATATGCTTTCCTCCTGAGAAACACTCAGGGTGGATTACAATAAAAGATAAGTTGTAAAAAACAGATAAAACATTAAAATAGAATAAATATGTAATAAGCAACAAATCCCCTGAACAGTACCCTCAATCCAAAAAACCTACTCAAATAAAAGTCTTACAGTGCTTCCTAGAGATGTCTAGATCTGATTCTGATGGCCCTCAGAGGGGAGCAATTTCCAAAGCTGAGGAGCAACTAACAGAAACGACCTCTTTCATGGTTTTGCCAAGCAAACTTGTGTACTGTTGGTACTTGCAGGAGGCTGCTTTTGGCTGACTTTAGGTAATATGATGGAATGTAAGGACAAGGTGGTGTGTTAGGTATGTAGGTCCTAGGTCATTTAGGATTTTATAAGTCAAGACCTTTACTATGAAAGCTCTTTCATTGTTCGGGTGATTCCAGGAACTCTGTATCTGATACGGTATTTGGTATCTTATACACAAGAGCATTTCACAATACCAGAAGGAGACAAACAGGAGATAAATGAAGTTGTGTGCAAAAAGTTTTTGATCTTAGAAGACCCAACTTTCAAGTCCTGTTAGAGTAATCGGAAATACTGAGTGCACAACACTTCCCAGGATTGCATCTAAATCCCCTACGAGAGGGAAAGCCTGAACATTTTAATGTCCTTTTTTCGCAAACTTTTCTATGCATAAATAACCTTGAATTCAGTAGGCCTACCCATCTGCACAGTTATCCATGTGTATAAGTATTTGAAGGATTGGGCCTTTGGTTCATTTGGCAACTTTTGGCAATACAGAAGTTCTTGATGTACTTTAAACATTATTGGTTTGAATATTTGCTTTCAGATCGTGAGGCTGTTTTGGAGCTGGAGAACAAATTCAAGGAAACTCGGAAGAATACAGGGACTAATGCATTGTACTATGCAGGAATGTTTCTATGGCTAATGGGTAAAAATGATAAAGCAGTTGAATACATTGACAGAATGCTGAAAATGTCTAATGGATCTAGAGAGGTAGTATATACTGGATTTTTTACTCATAAGACAAAACAATGGCAGAAGTTCTTGAGATTTAAAAATTAAAATGTGAACATCACATTTCAGTTATATAATAAAATACTAGCCAGCAATACATAAATATGTACTGTATCTGAAGTTGGATTTCCATGTCCTGTTTCGTACAAAATATAGTGCAAACATGGGGGTTTTTGCAAAGAAAAATAACTATGCTGAGTTTCTGCAGTAAAAAATGAAACTGGCTATATTCACTGATTTATAATTAGACACAATAATATATGCTGTAAAAACTGAGTAAGCAATTTTCACTCTACACACTTAAGCAAAACGATAGTGTGTATACTCTTACTGGTTTGAAAGAAATAGATAAACTGCTTCATTATAGTGCCATGAAAGTGGAACAACTATTTCATAAGTATAACATGGTGGGATAAAATCTATGCTCCTTTTTGTTGATGCAAGTCAATTGAGGCATACATTTTAAGTAAGATGACATTGCTATTAAACTCTATCAAATATTGCTTATATGGCAAAAGGTTCTGCAGCTTGCTTCATTGCTTTAAATAATTTCCAAGCTATTTAGAATTTGTGATCAGCATCCTTTTTAATATTTAATTCATTATAACGTAAACAACAAGTGAATGTACTTTAAACAAATTAAGTCATTCATTTGCCTGATACGATGTGCCCAAAGTACAGTTTATCTGAATTTTTACAGGGCCTTGTGCTTAAAGGATGGGTGTACTCCACCTCTGACAAACCGAATGCTGTTAAGAAATCTATCAAATACCTAGATGAAGGGACACAAGATACTACTGATATATTTGGGATGATGGGAAAGGTATGACTGTTGATTCTTAAGTTTTTCTATAACTCTTTTATACTTTCTTTCTTATATTTCTACTTGTGCCAGACTTTGGCTGAGAGGACACGGGACACCTTTCTCTTCCTGTGATCACCCATTGCATTGATTACCCCGTATTGTTTTCTGAGAATAAAAGACTGTGACAGGATGGGGTCCCCAGGGATGGCCGTGATGCCCCTAGGGCTCCATGACCATGCCAGTCTTGCCCAGCGGACAGCCTTTTCCTCTCCTGCCACGTCTTGGTGGTAATTGTAATATAGGGAGGCTGCCCTCGATCTTTTTGCATGGACACAGTCCTGCTGGACCCTGCTGACCCCCATGGGTTCTTGGCCCCTTTCTGGGTCCTGCTCAACATGGATACCTTGCAGGACACCCTGAGCCTTATAGGCTAGATGCATGGCTCCAAAACTGCCCCTTTACCACGCCCCAAGCCTTGCAGATAACATTTAGACATTGTCCCTCTGAGGTCTTAGTTTAACTGGGCCTCCAATCATCGCAGGGCTCTCCACAGCCCTGTCTCTCTCTCTCTCTGCAGACCCTGGCACTGGGGTCCGCTCATCCCCTTTGTCACCACACCCCTGGTGCTGAGGTCCACTCACTGTAGTGGGCCCCGAATGAGGCCTCCTTCTCCCCCAGTAGCCTCAGCCCAATCCACCAGTTTATAAACAGCAACTAAAATATGAGCTCCTGGGCTATAACATAATACAGGGAGTTCAAGGTGTGTTCTGTCCCTTTAAAAAAAAGTCAAACTTCCCCCAGTACTAAGTACCTTGTAGGCCAAGGTATCTGGTGAGCTCCTGGAGCCCCTTAATCCTACCTGAGGTAGAACAGGCAGTTCATCCTCTCTGGTGAGCTTCTTCTGAGAACTCCTTCCCCCTTGGCTGCTGACAGAGAACTCAACCTCTAGTCCCAGCCCTGGGGTTTATATATGCCCAGGGCCCTGCCTCTTCCGGTCACCTGACCAGCTGCAGGTGCCAGCTAATTCTCTCATTAGCTGGCTGCCATAGCAACCTGCACCTGTGGGGTTTCTATCTGGCTCTTAGAGCCTGCTCCCTAAGCTGTTTCTGTTCTTAAAGGAGCACACACCTTACTGCCCTGCAACAAAGACCAATTTTTCAAAGGCCTTTTAGGTGTCTAAATATTCAGTTAAGTACCCAGTGTGTTCTTCCAAGGTACCTAAGGAGACAAAGTGCCCAACTCTCCCTGACTTCAGGCTCCACCCTTGCTAATCCTGACAATGCATGTGGATAGGAGAGGCAACTGTAGGGACTCAGTTGTCAGCAGTAGCTACTGGTGAGCCTTGTAATGACTATGTGGAGAAGGCTGAGGGCCTACCTTAACCCCACGCCACTGTTGACTCCTACTGCTGTAATAACATTTGGTCTGAATCCTTTTCCAGTTCAGTTAATTGAACAGATGATAATTTGCTACCAATTTAATAATAGTTAATTAACACATCAGTAAAATATGCCATTTTTTCTGAAACAGCAGGATAGTTTTCCTTTTTTTTCTCCATAGATAAGATATTTCATGATGCATCAGAATTATTCAGCTGCTCTGGAAGTTGTTAATCAAATAATAATCACTTACCCCAGTTTCATGCCAGCATTAATCCTAAAGATGAGGCTATATTTAGCTCAGCAAAACTGGGAGCAAACTTTAGAGACTGCACAAAGGTAGGTTTTGATAAAAAATATAAACTAAAATGTTACTACTTATCTATTTAATCCTCTTGTGCTTATCACTAGGTTAAACTATGTAGATATATTCATGGTTTTATCCAAGTTCATTGATTTGGAGCAAGTTTCTGAACTTAAAATATTGTAAACAGTTTTCTTCCGAAGTGTCTCATTTTTTTTTCTAGCATTAAAGAAAATGTCATGAGTATTGTGTCAACAGTTCATGCTCCATTTTGTCAGGTAGTGTAAATTCTCAGATCCTTTAGACAGACAAGCTTCTTTGCGTGAATCTGATATCTTTTATTAGACCAACTAAAATAATTGAAAAACAATTATTAAGCAAGCTTTCAGGTTCAAAAACCCTTCATCAGGCTAAGGAAGTTTCTGCAGTTGGTGTGTGCTCTTCCTGGATGGAAGGAAAAGTAAAGCAGCCAGAGGCTGGGCTGGTCTGCACACAAGACAGGCAGTCAGTGAAAATGTAGATTGAGGAGTCAATGGGTGAGAGACAGGCTGGGGTGTGGGGTGGTGGTGGAGAGAAGGGGGATGAATAATGGAGAAGTACCTGGGAAGTCAGCTGTCAGGCAGATTATAATGTCATAAATCCAATGTCTATATTCAGTCCATGATTTTTAGTATCCAGGAGGCTGATGAAGAGGAGTTCATAGGCACGTCTCTGGGAAGCGTTGTGTAAGTTTCCTTTGAGGATCAGGACAGAGATTGGAGAGTGTGGCGGGTGCAGAGATCCCACCTCAGGAA